GACCTGGCTCTGCAGGGTCATGGATGGCACAGCGTCCCTGAGTAGGCAGTGGGACTGGGTGAGACCTGACTGTAGAGGGTCATAGACAGCCCAGCATCCCTGAGTAGACAGCGGGACTAGGTGAGACCTGGCTCTGCAGGGTCATGGATGGCACAGCATCCCTGAGTAGGCAGTGGGACTGGGCTCCAACTCTGCAGAGGGGGGACTCGGACAGGGAGACCTGAGGAGCAGGTCGGGAGGAGAAGTCTGCCTTCATGTCTTAATGAAGTAGGAAAGCAGAGGCCATTTGCTGCCAGGGCAGGGGTCAGCTGCTGTGGAAGCGACTCTAATGAGAGGAGGCACTGGGGATACATCTGCAGGTAGATGGGTACACCTGTAAAACACTCAGTACCCCAGTTTTCATTCTGACTTATGTGGATTGCCAGGAGCTATTTGAAATTGAAATTTCATATTTTTGTAATTTTAATGGTTTCCTTAGGTTTTACTACAAATAATATGTATTTAATCAAAGTATACCTTGAAATCATGTTAGACTTCACAGGCTGGGAACATATTCCCCATTCCTTCTTCCTATCCTATGTGCTGTTGCTGCCGTAATTTACTCCTACATACATACTCTGTGAACACGCAGTACATGGTGACCTTTTTTTTTTTTTGAAACAGAGTTTCACTCTGGCTAGAGTGCTGTGGCATCATAGCTCACAATAACCTCAAACTTTTGGACTCAAGCGATCCTCTTCTTCACCCTCTCGAGTAGCTGGGATTACAGATGCCACCACAACTCCTGCCTAGTTTTTCTTTTTTTTTTTTTTTTTAAGTACAGATGGGGGTCACTCTTGCTCAGGCTGGTCTTGAACTCTTGAGCTCAAGGGATCCTTCTGCCTCAGCCTCCCAGAGTGCTGGAATACACCTGGCCATGGAAACTATTTTTGCCTTAGATAGTCAGTGATATTTACAAGCCATTAAAAATAGGAAAAAAATAGTGTTCTATTTATTTACGCCATTTCCATTCTTCATTATCTGTGCAGATCACAGTGTCTGTTGGTATCGTACTCCTTACGCCTGAAGAACTCCTTCTGTCATTTCTTTATTTTTTTCTCTGTCATTTCTTAAACTGTGGGTCTGCTGACGATTTTTTTTCAATTTTTTTGTTGTTGTTGAAAAGTATTTTTCCTTCATTTTTGACACACTGTTGCTGGATATGGAATTCCATCCAGGTTGACAGCTTTCTATCAGCTCCTCAGCTCTCACTCTTCGTCATCTCTCTCGCATGGTTTCCGATGAGAAGTCTCCTGTAATTCTCACCTTTGCACCTGTCTGTGTAATATGACATTTTCTCTTGTCTGCCTTTAAGGTTTTCTCTTTGGTTTCTGCCACATTGAATATATGAGGTATACGATTTTTGTTTGTTTGTTATATTTAACCTCCTGGATGTTCAACATGTATTTATTGAAAACTATTAGATTCCATCACGGTGCGATTCCCAGGTTCCACACATGGGCTAAGAATATAGGAATAGGTGTGGTACCTGCCCTCAAGGAACTACTGTATTCTGTATAGACAAGAGACAGGGTGACTTAGAAGGGTGACTAGAGCTGAGAAGCCAGCATAGGAAGCTACATGGGCTTGTTACTTAATATTTGGTGTGACCGTCTGTGTCAAATGTTCTTAATTAGGACTTTAAAATGAAATTTGTTCTGGCCAGGTGTGGTCACTCACGCCTGTAATCCTAAAACTCTTGGGAGACTGAGTCGAGGGATCTCTTGAGCTCAGGAGTTTGAGACCAGTCTGAGCTATCCTGAGACCCTGTCTCTACTTAAAAATAGAAAAACTAGCTGGGCATTGTAGTGGGCGCCTGTAGTTACAGCTTCTTGGGAGGCTGAGGCAAGAGGTCTCAAACTCAAGACCAAGAGTTTGATTACTGTGAGCAACAATGCCACAGCAGTCTGACCTGGGCGACAGAGTGAGACTCTGTCTCAAAAAGAAAATTCTGTTTCTTACATGGGATTAACCAAATATTGGTTTAAACATGGGATCATATGTAACTGTGCTGAGATTTTCTTCATCCTCAATGCCACACTGGTCAGGGAGGGAGATCCTAAGCCTTTTCTCCTTGGCAGCTGGAAGAGAAGGCTGAGAACAACTTGGGAGACCTAGGCTCTCCGTCTGAGAGCAAAGGAGCCTTGAAGAAGGAGAGGGAGGTGCACCAGAAGCTCCTGGCGGACAGTCACAGCCTGGTCATGGACCTGCGCTGGCAGATGCATCACAGCGAGAAGAACTGGAACCGGGAAAAGGTGGAACTTCTCGACCGCCTGGACAGAGATCGGCAGGAATGGGAGCGACAGAAGAAGGAGCTCTTGTGGAGGATAGAGCAGGTAGGGATGCACCCAGGCCTGGGAGTGAGGCCGAGAGTGTGGACTCAACTGGGCCAGAAAAGCAAGAGCACTTTTCTGAAAAGAAAACCAGGCTGCTGTATGGGCCTTGCTGCGTCAGGAGGTGTCAGGGGCTTCCAGAGGAGAGGGAGAAACCAGAGTGTTGGAGAGCCAGGTACCTGCCCCTCCACAATACAGAGGTGGTCATTGCAGAGCTTGTAGGTAACTTTTCCTGGGTGCAAGTGCTTGTGGGGAAGGGAGTAGCTTTTGAAAGTAATTTAAAGACTAAACTTAAAACAGGAGGTAATTTCAGATCTTTTTCAGTGATTTCTGCCAACAAGCAAAGTACCTTTAAAGTTTTCCACTAAAGATGTGGTCACAGTGACTGCTCCAGCTTGAATGGAATTGTTGTCATTAGTAAAGAAACTGCTGAATCAAGTTGGAGATTTGCTGGCAATTGTACCTGCTGTGGCCGTGCTGAGCTGTGATTAGATAGGACCATAGTCGAGGGAGGTAGCTCATTGTCTTCAGCTAAACAAATGACTTAAAAACTCAGATGAGTGTAGGGTGAGGGGGAAGCTGTTTTTCTACTCAGCACTGCATCCGACCTAGACAGTTCACATAGTTGCAGTAGTTCCTGAGTGATGCACAGATTAAATTGACCAATGATTGGAGCTCTTCTGCCCTGGATTTTTATATACCATACATTTTATTTATTTCAGCCTGTCATACTTTATAAATTCATGAGGCCTCAAGGAAATGTATTAATCAGTAAGAAACAGTTCAGGAAAAATAACCGTATCACTCTACTTTAAATACCCATACTGCCTGCACTTCTGTGGGAGCCTTTTGAAAAATGTGTTCTGATGTCCACAGATGTGGTGCCTGGGTTATGCAGGTACAATGGCAAAGGTGGGTTTAAGCATCATGGGTAGAGAGGGAGGGAGAGCAACTGAATGGTGAAAGGAAGCAGGAGAAGAAAGTACATTGCAGATAGAAAGGAGCTGACGTTCTTCCCAGATTTGATCACTCACATGCATGAGTCACATTGCTGACCTTTGATATGGCTCCATTTTGGAATTCCCCAAATCTTACCAAGAGGAAAGTTGGCCATTTCCTGTTTGGCTTCGAAATGCGCACTCATGAGGAGTCTCCTTTTTTTTTTTTTTTTTGAGACAGAGCCTCAAGCTGTCACCCTGGGTAGAGTGCCATGGCATCACAGCTCACAGCAACCTCCAACTAGTTCCTGGGCTCAAGCAAGTCTCCTGCCTCCACCTCCCAAGTAGCTGGGATTACAGGCGCCCGCCACAAAATGCCTGGCCATTTTTGGTTGCAGCCATCGTTGTTTGGCAGGCCCAGGCTGGATTCGAACCCTCTAGCTCAGGTGTATGTGGCTGGCACCTTAGCCGTTTGAGCCACAGGCGCTGAGCAGAGGAGTCTACTTTATTAAATCTCCTGTAGGTCTGTGCTCCTTCGAAAGGGTCTGTTGTTAGGTGGAAATTTTCAGGGTAGAAGTAGCAAGGATTGTTATGAAAATGGTCAGGAATTTATCATATCCAACTTTAGTTGACCAGTGTCACAGTAATCCAGGAAGCGTGTTACCGGACTTCTTTCATGGCCTTGACTTTAGAATCACTCACTTAGTACGTCCCTCCTGTCCCCTATGAGGCCATTCTGATCCCTGCCATGGCCCTTCTAGGGCCCCTTTTGCCTTTCAGAGCCATAGTGACTTGCTGGTCTTGTCACAAGCTTCGTCTGTTGTGAAAGTCACACCATGGATATAAGTTAAGCAAGTCTTTTAGGTTCTTATCTTACTTTTGGGAATGAGAAATTTCTAGTAAAGAAAAAATTAATAAGATACATCTGGTGATACTCAACTTTTAAAGAGTCGGTTCCTTAAAGGTCCCCTTATGTTAAGACTGTATGTTGAAAAGGTAAAAGTGGTTAGGAGCTGAACTCCATTTCCAAATTGTCGGTATTGAGACATTGCTGCCAAGTGGACAGCCCCAGAACCTCAGTTCTCAGAGTGGACATCGCTGAGCGTGCTGGCTCTGCAGCACTGGAGTTGCAGGCATTTGTCTGTTCCTGAAATCTGTGTGGTGAGTGATTTCATTGCTGTTTTCAGAAGAGGACTGTTCACCAATGAACTGATGCTTCAGATGTACAACTGTGGCTTGTAAAAATAAGTCTGGCCTTTTCCCAAAAATATTCAACATTTTTAAAAGAAGACTTAATAAATCTTGGTACTTAATCCTGAGAATTAAGTAAAGCAGTTATAAGTCTTCTCTAGAATATTTGAAAAGAGGGGATTGGCTCAAGTATATATGGTTGTGTGTGGATTTTGTTTGTTTATGGGTTATTGAGTTGTCCATCCATTTCACTGTTAGCTGCACATTCCATAGATGCACGGGAGGTGTAACTGAGCCTTCTTCACAGTATGTGCTCTCCACATGTGACTACTTGGGAAGCCACAGAACCTGGACGGTGAGAACCTAACACAGATGGTGAGGGAAGTAACACTAAATCCATTTTCCACTTCCAGAACACACGCTTCATTCTTGTCTGGTGTCATTAAATTCCTACACAATTTCTACACCACATGAGGCATTTTACATGATGTTTGACTGTAGGAATGTGGCTAAGTCGTATAACTCATTTTGTCTATCTTCTCAGTGTCTTCTGTCTCAATCCAAGTTTGGTACGAAACTTTTATGAAGTCACGCTACAGTTCTCCTTAGAACTGTGCTGTTCCCAGTTGACACGCAGATAATGTAGGACACACCACTGTACTTACAGCACTGAACAGTGTCCGCCCTTCAACTTTCTTAAATCTGCGGCCTCTACGACATGAAAGGCCACTCTTTTAAAGCTTGTTTACGAAGTGACCTTTTTTCTTACCACCAGTCTGGGTAGGGTGCCTCTCTTGAGGGTTTATTGTTTCCTGTGTTATCTGAAATGCAGATCTTTGAAACTTTCTGTCTGCTCTGAGGCTTGTCCTGTGAGCCTGCAGTTACAGCAGGTGCAGAGCTGACCTGAGGTGACTCCCCTCGGGACCCCTGTCCTCTTAGGGACCCTTGTATTGCAGCAGACGTCCCCAGCTGCAGCCACTCCAGTTCAGTTGTAGGAAACCTAACGCTTCCCAGCATCAGTGCACTTGCTCCTGGCCGCCTGGGTTTGTTTTGAAACCCCACTTGACTGAGTTAGAAGGCCTGGTGTGCAGCTCTGGGCTTTAGTCATTCTTTCCCTCCCACACCCTTGGGGCACGGGGCACGTGTGCTGCTTGAAATGGGATCCTTGCATCTTAATTCCTTACCCAGAATAGCTTGGAGATGATCATGTGTTAAAACTAAATTGTGAGAACGTATATTAAGAGAACATATAAAAAAGCTACCCTTTTAATTTTTTTAAAGAAAGCATTTACAAAAAAAAGGCTCAGCACTTGTGGCTCAAGTGGCTAAGGCGCCAGCCACATACACCTAAGGTGGTGGGTTCAAATAATGATGTCTGCAACCAAAACAAAATAGCCAGGCATTGTGGCGGGCGCCTGTGGTCCCAGCTACTTGGGAGGCTGAGGCAGGAGACTCGCTTGAGCCCAGGAGTTGGAGGTTGCTGTGAGCTGTGATGCCACAGCATTCTACCCAGGGGCAGGTTGAGGCTCTGTCTCAAAAAAAAAAAAAAAAAAGGAAAGCATTTAGCATCTTAGGGAGAACTGCAAAGAATTGTGTCATTGGGGAGGGGGAGGAGAGAGCAAAGGGTCTGGCCTCAAACCGAGAGTGATTTGCCTGTTCCCTAATTTGACTGGAAACTACCTCAAACTCTAACATTTAATCTCTGGCTGCTTGAATCTCCATCTTTCTCATAAAATAAAGGTAAAGCTCTGAGGTTCTGTTCCCTCGCCTCAGCGTTTACTACAGGTGAGTGGCAGTCCTTTTGTTCCCGTTAATCTCACAGGGCTTTCTTCCTGGCTGTCCACAAGCCACGCTCACATCTGACTTGGGGAGGAAGCCTCAGATGAGGCCACAGAGATGTAACTGATGTTTTTAAAAATCAGCTGATCCTCATTTAAGAGAGTTTTAGAATTTCCCGGCACTATCTCAGCACTTGAGGACTTTAAATCTTTATTTAGCTACTCTTTCTGGTCAAATCCAAATGTCACTTTTAACATTCAGATAGTATACTTATTCAAAAGAGCAATCTGTCCAGAGTGTGAGCTTGTCATCCAGTACAGAGCCCGTCAAAGCTCCGTGCGTGGAAACGGTTGCAGTGTGTGAGCTTCTGTGCGTGTGTTTACAACGGGAGGCGATGAGGTAGGCTCAGGGGAGTGGACAGGGAACTGACCAGGGCTTCTCTGAGGAGCCATTTGCCTGCGACCTCGGCAGTTCCTTGTGACTTGGCACAGACCCCCCACCTTCCAAGCCCCCCAGTGCTGTAACAGGGGGAGAAGCCCCAGGCCCAAGGAGCTACACACAGATGGGCCTCTGCCAGGTGGCTGCTGTGTACATGTCCCCTTCTTACAAATGCCGAAACTGAGCTGAGGAGAGTTGGGAACACGCACCTGCCAGCACACCAACAAGCCAAATTAATGGCTCTAATTCCTGTCTTCTAACTCCAAGAGGTCCTGTGTTTTCTTGAGTTTACCTAATCAGACAGAAACGGTGTGAATATATGGCATGTGGATACCCCCCACCCCAGTCCTACCAGATCTTTACATATCTTTTACAATTAAATTTTAATCCTCTCAAGCAAAGTATAAATTGTTTTTAACATCGAATGGTTATAACCCGGTTTCGGCACTGAGCTTCTTTACAGGACCTGCCCAGTGGTTTGGGGCCAGTTAGGGAATTCAGATTCACACTCAGAAGTTTGTTATCACTGATGGTATTCTTAGTTTGCATTAAGTTTTGAAGGTAATTACATAAAAGAATTTTGACTTGTAGTTTAACAAATTAGATTTTTTAAAAGTAAATGTAGAATTTCTCACGAGCACAGCACTCAAAGTAACATATGTTGACATCAGAAAGAACTGTCAATGCTTGTGTGTGGTTAATGCAGATTTTCTAGTCCAGCTAAAACTGTGGGTTTTTTATTTTTTTTAAGAATTTGTAATGTTGTGTTATATTATGAAATTAAGGTCAGAACTTTAAGAACACGTGCTTCTAAAAAAGTCTTCCAGATTGACCCATATGTAATTCCAAATTACAGAGACAAGAAGGTTTACGGGAGACTCTGAGATGGAAAAGTGAGGCTAATTATTTTCATTTTTAAAATTCTAAAGTTGCAGAAAGAGAACAGTCCCCGGAGAAGTGGCAGTTTCCTCTCTGATCAAAAGGAAGGCAGTGGTCGCCCCTGTCCCCACCAGGGCAGCCTCCGTATGTCCCATCCCATGACAGCGTGGCCATGTGCAGAGACCGACTCCATCCCATTTGAAGACCGGCCACTGTCTAAGCTGAAGGAGTCGGACAGGTGCTCGGCCAGTGAGAACCTCTACCTGGATGCCTTGTCCCTGGATGACGAGCCAGAGGAGCCACCACCCTGTAGGCCTGAGAGGGAATTCAGGAATTGCCTCCCCGAGGTCAGCCTGGTCTTGTCCATCCTGGTTAAATACTTTGCAATGAGGGGTTCTTAAACCAAGCAGGGTTCTTTTAAATTCCCATCCTGGCAGGCTCTAGTGGTTTTTGCATATATATGGCAACCCCTGAATTGAATAAAAACAAAATCTTCAGGATACTGAGGGTTTGGCTTGGTGGCCCTGACCCCAGACTCCTAGTGTACTCTGTGGTCAGTTTGGCTTTGCCGCCTTGTTGAACACTTAGAAATACCCAGCTAGTGTCTCATGTAAAAGGAAGGTCCCATCAATAAGTGTGTCCAACCTACAAGAAGAAGTAAATAATTCTACATGTATAAATTCAACTTTTCTTGAAATCATAGTATAGTCTTCTGAGTCTACAAAACCTAATAACCAAAAAAATTCTGTTTTAGAGAAATTTCCTAACATTTGGAAACAGCAAATATTACTAAAAACAATGATATACTATAAATATCTTATTTGGGGGAAAAGAGAAAAAAAATTCAACACTTAGAAAACTTAAGTAAATTAGATTACCAAATAAGGGAGCTAAGCTATGTACTGAAATCTCCAGGACACAGGATTAGTTGCATTTCTCTAAAATCTCATTTTAAAAACTAATTTTAAGCATCATTAAACAGATTTAACAACTGCTGCACCCATCATTTAGTCTCCCAAACACTTAATACTTAGGAGAGTTCACATCAAATAGTGTTGCTGAGATTGGGGAAATTATACTTCGGTTAGATGTCAGTGAGGCCAAGCGCCTTGCTCTCAGCAGTATGTACCAGGTTGACCCAACATGGCCGTGATTCCACCCTGTGTGGTCTAGCAGCAATCTTGCATGGCCCATTTCATAGCAGACAAGGTGTAGGACTGGGGTCAGGAGACTATCTGCGTTCCCACTCTGCAGTGGCTGGGACTGCCCTGCTCCTCTGTGGGACAGGGACAGGGCACACTCTAGTCTAAGGGGAAGCGAGCCCCGCAGTGTACCATCCTGGGGAACAGTTTCCATGACTATCAAAGGCTTGCTGCTTCAACGCTGTGTCAGCACAGGGTGTTTTTTCTCCGGAAAACCTTGTGTTTGTGGTGTTCTCTGCCAGCGCGGCTGTCATTCTTCTTAAGGAAAAGTGGAATATTTAAAACCAAGTGAGTATCCAAGCCTAAGGCTGTCACACCAACTTTTATAGCAAGATTTGGACCAAGGGACATTAGTCTCCTAACTTAGTTCACTACCCTTTGTTTTCCTGTCTCTTCCTCTCCCTCCCTCTGTCCCCCCATTCCCCCTCTTTCTTTTCTCCTTCTCCCTCTCTCTAGCTTTCTTTTTCTCTCTCTCTGACTTACTCGGGTCATTATAAGAGCTGCCTTTGAAATTCACGTAGTTAGTGAAGTCCTTTGAGGAAGCACAGAAGAGCCGCTTCCTCCATGAGGAAGTTTACAGCCCATTTTTCTCACTCGCATCGGCTCTTCCCTAAACTGCAGAAGCTCCCACACCCTCATCACACCGCGGGCGCCACTTTATTACTGTACTTCAAAGGACTCTGGGGTGGTAGCTCTCCTGACCACAGGCCTCAGCGTACATTCCAAATGGCGTCTTCCTCGAGGAACGAGGAGCGCAGCAAACACATCACTTAAGCACATCAGGGCTCCTTGGGAACCAAACTTACCTGATTCTGACCAAGTTATTTCTTCTTATAGGAAGAAGAAAGTCACAAGGGGAATCTTCAAAGGTAAGTCGGATTGATGAAAATAATAGATTATCGAAATAAAAATCTCTTCGTCTCAAAATTCCATCTTAATTGATGTTGTCTATTTTAATACTCTCTTCAAAATGACTTAAAATGAAAGACTGCTGAATAAGTGGTTGCTTTATTATTCTTCATTTCATAAATTGGTATTTTTTTATTATCAGCAACACAGAGGGTAGGCGTGCTGTGCGTGTGCGTGTGTCAGCTTCATGACAAGGACGTCCCAGTTGTAGTGTTGTTATGTATACACAAGAATGCTTGTGTTCAGTGATTTTGGAAAAGCCCTTGGAAACCTCTCTTTTCTCATTTAAAGCCTGGAAAATTCCTTATGTATATGCTATGAGACATTTTATATTCTTTATTTAAAAGCTCCCTTAGCAATAGTCCTTAAAGAAAATACATGGTGATTGAGGCTGATGCTGTATACCAACTTTTCCCTCCCCAGACTTTTCTCTAGTTTTACTTTTTATTAATTCTACAGACAAATATGTAACTCTTTTAACTACATGAAGTTTCTTCTCAGTAAATTTGCCATTTTCAGGTCCTTTCGTCCTTGACTTTCCTCTGCCTCCTTCCCATTTGGCCTCTGTGAGCTCCCTACAGCACGGCGTGGTGCTGCTGGCGTGTCTCAGGGCCTGCCCGGCCTTCTCTCGTCATTCTCAGCAGTGCAGGCAGCACGTGGCCGCTCAGGCGCTATGGCCAAGCGCCTGGCTGCAAATTGCTTCTGCTTCTTACCGGCCACTTGACTTTGGGGAGGTTATTCAACAGCTTGGTGCCTCAGTTTCCTTTCCTCATCTATAAACAGGAAGTATTGGGGGGTTTGGTTTTTTGGTAGCTTGTAATAATTAAAGCAGCACTTGGCACAGAACAGGCAATGAACAGAGTTTTGTTCCCACTTTCCCTCCATTCTTAGCAGCATCCACGTTGGTGTCTGGGTCTGAGTTTACGGGTCCTCTCCTTTAGCACCCAAGTCAGCAGCCCTTTGTTTTTTAAATCTTCCTTATGTTAATTTCAGACATAATCCATATTTGTTGTAAAATGTAAATAATGTCAATATGTCCCAAGTGAAAACTAAATGTGCCCTCCCCACATCCCCTTTTCTTCTCTGGCTTTTTTTTTTTTTTTTTTTTTTAGGGACAGAGTCTCACTTTGTCACTCTTGGTAGAGTGCTATGGCGTCACTGCTCACAGTAACCTCCAGCTCTTGGGCTTAGGGGATTCTCTTGCCTCCGTCTCCCAAGTAGCTGGGACTATAGGTGCCCACCACAACGCCTGCTATTTTTTGTTGCAGTTTGGCTGGGGCTGGGTTTGAACCTGCCACCCTCGGTGTATGGGGCCGGCACCCTACTCACTAAGCCACAGGCGCCTCCCTCCCTCTGGCTTCTAACAGCCTGGTGTGTGTCTCACAGACTGTGCTGCACACCTGTGAGTGCCTGCACGTGCTCCACGCATCCTATTCTCATGGGTACTGTCTGTTTGCTTTGGCCACAGCTAAGGCTCACCACTCTCCTTTCTCTGTCCTCATCATCCCTGCTCCACTATATCCAGCCATACCCCAGAGGCACAGTGTCCCCACCCATACCGGTGCCCCTGATGAACTCTGAGAGCAGTTCCTCTGTGGGCGAGTGGGATTGAGGTGTGCCCCGCCCATAAACCGTGGGAGGATGGGCTGCAGCCGCTGCAGAGCACGTGCATCCAGAACAGCACCCTAACACTCACTGTCAGTGCAGCCCCTCTGAGTTAACCAGAAACGAAAAGAAGAAATTGCTGTTTGCTACAAAGCTGAAGACCTTGTGAAAAATCAATCCATCCCTTCAATTTCCTTTCATTTCCAGCACTGGTTCTAGCCAGCTTGCTGCTGTTGAAGCACCACTGGACAGTTGGCAGGTTGTTTTTAGATGGAATGCCTGACAATGTCGCTTTTAGTCTGCTCTTTCACCCCAGAGGACCACACGAGTATGTGCCCTGCTCCAGGGTGAAAGTGGCTGTCAGCAAAGCTGCCCTGAGTGTTGCTAGGTCTGTGTACCTGTCCACACAGACTTACTCAGAGCAAGACCCCAATTCTGGCCTTGTTGTCTTTAATGGGTCCTACAGAGGAGTGGTCTAAGCATGCAGTGTGAGACCCTTCAGCAGGGTGTTACCGGTGTAGCTCCCTGGGTGGGGGCAGGGCATATGTCCCATGAGAACTGGTCTTAGTTGCAGAGACAGTGAGTCTGTGAAACCTCATGCCCCCACTCCCCAGCCATCACTTCATTGCCCTGGGTGGCTGGCTGCTGCCTAGAGCTCCAGCTACCTGTCTTAGGTACACACATTCCCAGCACCACTCCGGTGCCTGCTGTCAGTTTGGCCCACCTATTTTTACCCTGCTGTGTGTTCATGTGTCTGAGGGAGTTTTTCTTTTAATCAAAAATACATACAAACAAATAATTGGTCATAAAGAACTAATCCCCTTGGTGAGCTGGGGCAGGGCCGGGTGAGCTTCTGTTTGGTACGTAATTTCTGATCTGATCAGGATTTCCACTTCACCCCTTTCTTCTGTATCTTCCAAGTGTACTTTGGAGACTGTTAGTACTTGAAGCCAGCAGAATTTAACCAAGTGAAGAGACTTGAGGCTATCCTGTTGTGTTGTGGCCCACTGCAGGCAGGAATGGGGGTGTCCACCTGCATGGAATGGGCACTGCAGTGACACCCGGGGCTCTGCACTCACAGCAGGGCTGTAGCTGGAGGTGCTCATCTCCATGCAGAGGCCGAGCACAGCCTGGAGTTCAGCCATGCCCGCCTTATAGCCCCCTCTTACTTGTTTCCACAGGATATGAGGCTTGGCTGGTTGGCTGTGTTCAATTTCTGACCAGTACAAAGCTTTAGTAACATTGCAGAGCCATAAAAGGTCCAGGGAACACCCACTGGGAGAGCTCAGGCATGGAGCACATCTGGCCACTGAACAGTGTGCCGACAGTCCACAGGTCCTCCCCACGTGGGGCAGAGCAGGTGCTGTGGTGTGCCAGGGCATCCTGGTGGGCGCTGACGCTCTCCCTTCACTTTCCCCAGGGCAGTGTCTGTGTCCTCCATGTCCGAGTTTCAGCGCCTGATGGACGTCTCCCCTTTTCTGCCTGAGAAGGGCCTGCAGTCCACCAGTGGCAAGGAGGACATCACCCCACCCCTGTCTCCAGATGACCTCAAGTACATCGAGGAGTTCAACAGCAAGAGCTGGGACTACACGCCCCCCAGGGGCCATGGTGGGGCTGGGACAGAAAGGCCTATGGACCTCTGGGCAGAGAGGACCGAGGTGGGGCGGGCAGGGCATGAGGCCAGCGCAGAGCCTTTCCCTGACTCCTCCTGGTACTTGACCACAAGTGTCACCATGACCACTGACACCATGACCAGCCCAGAGCACTGCCAGAAGCAGCCGCTGAGAAGCCACGTCCTCACTGAGCAGTCCGGGGTGCGTGTGCTGCACAGCCCGCCTGTCGTGCGCAGGGTCGACAGCATCGCCACGGTGGGCAACGAGGGCCCCTTCCCCACAAGCAGGGCCAGAGGGGGCCTGGGAGATGCCAAGGGGGGCCCTCTGGAGCCCGTGATTAGCAGGTGGTCCTGCACTCCCCCCAGACACCCACGAGAGTACACAGAGGGGGCGTGGCGCCCCCTCGACACACCCCTCTGCACCTCCCTGGGGTTTGCCTCCCCCTTGCACAGCCTGGAAATATCCAAGAACATGAGTGATGACATGAAGGAAGTGGCCTTCTCTGTCAGAAATGCCATCTGCGCTGGTCCTGCCGAGCCGCAAGTCAAGGACATGGCCTGCCAGACCAACGGGTCCCGGACGACAGGGACACAGACCGTCCAGACCATCAGTGTGGGCCTGCAGACTGAAGCCCTACGCAGCAGCACTGTCACCAGCAGCCCCCACAAGTGTCTCACGCCAAAGGCCGGGGGTGGCACCACCCCCGTGTCATCTCCTTCCCGCAGCCTTAGAAGCAGGCAGGTGGCCCCTGCCATTGAAAAGGTGCAGGCCAAGTTTGAACGTACATGCTGCTCCCCTAAGTATGGTTCTCCCAAGCTACAGAGGAAGCCGCTCCCCAAAACTGACCAGCCAAATAACAGGACTTCCCCAGGGATGGCCCAGAGAGGGTACAGCGAGTCAGCCTGGGCACGCTCCACCACCACAAGGGAGAGCCCTGTGCACAACACCATCAACGACGGCCTCTCCAGCCTCTTCAACATCATCGATCACAGCCCCGTGGTGCAGGACCCCTTCCAGAAGGGGATGCGGGCCTGCGGTCGGTCTCACTCAGCAGAACCCCGACCAGAGCTGGGCCCAGGCCAGGAAACAGGCACTAATTCCCAAGGAAGGTCGCCCAGCCCCAGTGGGGTGGGCTCAGAGATGTGCAGGGAGGAAGGGGGAGAGGGCACACCTGTGAGGCAGGACTTATCCGCTCCACCCGGCTACACACTCGCTGAGAACGTGGCCCGGATCCTCAACAAGAAGCTGTTGGAACATGCCTTAAAGGAGGAGAGGCGGCAGGCTGCCCACGGCACCCCAAGTCTTAACAGTGACAGCCACTCGCTGGGGGACACGATGGAGCCAGGGTCCATGGAGGTAATGAAAGCCAAGTGTCCCCCCAGTTCTCCCACGTAGCTGTCAGGCATGCTGAGGCCTGGAGTTATGCTCACTCTATTTCAGGAATCCTTGTTCATAATTGTTGGGAAGCTGGGAGGTGTTGGGTTTAGGGGAGAATGGAATAGACAGAAACATGCACCCTGAACAACTTCCTAAGGGAAATTTCACTTTATTGTCCTCACTGAGGACATGGTCTGATTCAGGGTCTGTCCTCTGGTCTAAGCAATTGATCCTTATTTATTTATCTGGACTTTTCATTTGGGGGTCATAATTTGCCCCATTCTGTATGAATCTGCACATGTGCAGCCTATGTAAGAGCTATGTCAGGGCTCTCTGCGTTCTGCAGACCTTGGGACACGCATGTAACCACGTGAGAGCTGAGCTGGGGGAGGGGGCTGGAGCACATGGACACAGCACATCAGGAACCAGAGGAACACCTGGATTCCCAGACTGGCTTCAGTACAGAATGGCCATCTGGCATCTCATAGATCACTCGCCCTCTCTGTGGCCATGAATTCCCCTATCAATAAATAACACCAGGTGAAACAAATGGCTAAAATCAGAATACAATATGAGATGATCATGAGCCCCTTGACATTATTCACACATTAACCAACCTTGGATTTGATTCTGATACAGAGCCAGGAAGAGCAAACTCTAGACTGTGAACACCTGACCCCATGAGCGTTCTTCAGCCCAGGCCTCTGCAGATGGCAAGGGTTGGAGGAGGCAGCAACAAAGGCAAGCCGTGTCCTTGGGGCTGGCTGCTGCTTCCTGGCTGTGCAGGGGCAGCCCTGGCTTCATGGGGGGAGAGGAGGAAGGTGTGCTCCTGTGTTTCGTGGCCCAAATTTCCCTAGGAGGGTAGATGGTGGTTCAATTCCCAGTCCCACCCACCAAGGAATATTTAATTCAAGGTAGAGAGTTTAAGTCTGAACCTCATGGAACTGCCAGTGACCTACAGAAATGGCCATTCCATACGGTTCAACCTAATACGAATAGCTAGTATGTGGCCTACGTGTTCCAAAGATCTGGGTCTCTGTGGTGTCCTTGGTGACATGCTGAGAAGGACACACACTGCTGGTTGCGTGTTCCCGTTGCCCCCATGCCCCTGGCCCTCAGGTACGTTTTCCTGCAGTGGAAGATCTGATTATGAGTGAAGGCTCAGCCTTCCCAGGCAGCTGAAATCAGGGCTTAGTCCTGAAGCATTGATTGGTGTGTCAGTGTCCATTTATATTGGAAATTAATTTCTATGAACTAAAAATTGCTTTGAGTTACTAACAGTAAACGCTGCATGCCATCTGTGATAACTTAAAGAAAATGGTTTTATGACAGAATCCCAACACTATGGCATGAAAACTGTTTCATCAGTACAAAGCTGTGCCCCCACCCCACCGATAAAGTATGTATTTAAATTTTCTCCTCACTTAGTGTTTGCAACCAAAAGAGATGATTGGGAGGGAACAAGACAGTTTCAGGGTCCCAGAACCTGCATGGAGCACTCAGTGGCAGTGTCTGCGTCTCTTTTTCCCTTTTCTGTTCTAGATTCTACTGGAATTATCCCTTGTTTGAATTGATGTAATATATTAGGGCCATTGGTGACTCCCACCCATCTCTCCATAAATTATGTAGTAGTTATAGGCTTTTATTCCAAAATCACCAGGACTGCTTCTGATTTTCCAGCCTATGCTGAGCATCCTGGTGTGGAATCTTTCCCTGAATGTCCTAGATTCAGGGGTGACTTAGGCAACAGCCTAGCTTCACTCTCACTGAGCGACTCAGTGCCGTGGCACCAGCTCAGCAGTGCCGAGAGCTGCCGTGGGAAGGAGTTCCAGTGCAGAGAGGAAGATGTGCCACTGGAATGCTATTCTTTCCTCCCCTGTCTAAGTGGAAAATAGGAGGGGAAATTTTTAGTATAAGCAGCAACCATTTGATTATTGTGACCAAAACAAGACCGGCCATATAGTGGCCTCTGTTTCATACATGGCAGTCATGCGATTTCCATTGCTCTGTTTGCCAAAGCCCCTGTGAAATGCTAACTGCTAAAGGGTGACTGGGGAAGCACAGAAGCCAGAGCGGCTATTCCATTGCAGTTCCTTCTTTGCTCGGTGGCAGATGGCAGAGGACAGGCCTGTGCTGCCCCCAGCCCCTCCCCCACACTGCCTCAGGGTCAGTGTGCTGGACCTGAGAGCTCTCCAGTCTCTCCTGGTGGCCGTCCCCGAGTGGGAGGGACGGACCTCTGGCACCGGGCTTGCTGACTTTGAATCTTTACTGTTCTGTTTGAAAAATACTTTCCAACCTACTTGATTTTCTTTTCTTTTTCTGTCTGTTCTGTCCAGAACCAAACTGTCTTACTAACTGCCCCCTGGGGACTCTAGCCCTGCCTGCCTCACGCTGTAAGTGCTCTGTTCCTTGTTTCCCAACTGTCTGAGCGATTGTGTGACTCATGGATGGTACCTGACACTCACACCTGAGGGAGCTGAGCCCAGAGGAAGTGCTCCCTTGTCCATCCAAGGCTGCCGGGACTGGCTTATCCCCAGGGACAGACTGGCCAGACCAACTCCCATTTGCCCCACTCAAGGGCTGATCCCTCAGTGCAAAGAACTTTTTTAAGTTATAGAGGTTCTGCTGAGATTTCCCTCCTGTGCAGCTTGCAGCCAAGGCACTTTCACAGAAGTGAGATCTTGCTTGGGAGAGGACACCTCAGGCACAGAGGTCTCACCTGAGGGGGACATTGAGCCCAGCTGCGCACCTGTTCACCAGCATTTTGGTCACATATGTTCAGTGCCACCTGCTGAAATGAGGTGTGACCATAAAGTGATAAGGTTTTTCTCATTTTTTCAGAATCATACTACAAGGAATAAACCCAAATATATCTTATCCTTCCCAGTGAGCACTGTAGGTGACAGTACGTGATTGCTAACAGATAGTTTTTGAATCAGTAAATGAAGCAGTCCCTGCTCCATATATTTGGAGAACTTATTTCAGAACTGCTTTCAGAGCCTGAATCAAAGCACATGAGAAAACACATACTTTGTTTTGGATCCGGGATATAGTCACCCACCCACCTCGTCCACTCTCCTTGACTCAAGGTATAGTGGACTGTGAAAGACAACAGATATGTCCCCATGAAAAAAATGACACCATATGGGGAAGGTCATTTCCAAGATTCCAAGACGGTGCTGTGGGGGCAGCACCCAGAACAAGAAGCCCGAGTAGCCCACTACAGTGACTTGCTGGGAAAACCCAACAGCATTTGCTTGTGTGTATTTCTAAGGAAAAGGCTCATTCCCCTGAACTTGGGGTCACATGACCTTTCTTACTTCCTGCACAAGCATCTGCTGGTGAACAGATGCAAACTGGTCCCATGAAAACTGTTCTTGTTCAGCGACAGCCTCACCAACACGCCACAACACTTACAGCAGATACGACATAAACTGCTCTTACAGTAAGGGGAGCAGATTTCTCAAACCACATGTGCCCCCCCAGGACAGTGGACTGAGGTGCGGGGAGGACACAGTGGTACCTGGGCTGGCTTGTCCCTCAGTGGTGCTAATGGTGTCTTACCTGATTGTCATGGTGGCAGCAGCAGAATGCTTTGCTGACAGGGCTTCTCCCACCATGGAGTAAAGTGCCAGTCACAAAACGAGCAGGAAGCATCAACTACAGAGTAGCGTCTGTGGTTAATGCTCCTTTTCTGCTGCCCCCACGGGAGGCAGGGAAGCCATTCACCCCATCACTCCTCCAGAAACCTCGCACTCCACAGGCCGCTCTGTCTCCCCCATGCTCCATCTCTCCTGAGTTGCATCGCTCATCTCACAGGGCCATCTGTCCCCCACCCACCCCCTGCTGCTCTCCTATACTGCTGGCAAATCTCTCCTCATTCTGGTCTTTGCAGTTGCCTGACGTATCTCTTTAAATCCTTCAACTCCCTTGCTTTCTTTGAGGGGCCTCGTTCTGCTCTCTGTGCCTTCCATTGTAGGGTTCACCTTCTTGGCCTGTGGTCCTGGAGTCCCCTTTGGGTTTCCTCATGCCACAGCTTTTTACATTTCTGTGTGTCAGCAAATTTCAAGTGTGGGTGTCCTGGTTTCCTAGCATGCCGGCTAAGAACAAGCAGTTCAACACTCTTTAAAAACAAAAAAGCACCTTGAGAGTAAGGACTCCATCCGCATAGGATGGCCTGTGCACGGCTGAGTGTGTGCCACGTCGCTGCTCTCAGAACTCGAGGATGCCTGGGACACAAAAAAAGTGCACTCTGGTTCTACTTTTTAAAAATGCTGCTACAATCAGGCAGTGCCTGTGGCTCAGTGCGTAGGCTGCCAGCCCCATATACCGAGGGTGGTGGGTTCAAACCTGGCCCCAGCTAAACTGCAACAAAAAATAGCTGGGCATTGTGGTGGCGCCTGTGGTCCCAGCTGCTCAGGAGGCTGAGGCAAGAGAATCGCTTAAGTCCAAAAGTTGAAGTTTGCTGTGAGCTATGATGCCATGGCACTTTACTGAGGGTGACAAAGTGAGACTCTGTCTCAAAAAAAGAAAAAGAAACGCTGCTACAATGAAGAGTCACTAAAGAAAACTAGACCTAAATTAGAAATTTCTGTCTGCAGCATTTTTTTCCATGTTGTAGGAGTCTGTTTAGCCTCCTGCCAAGCAGTTTGGAATAAACAGCAGCAGAATTTGTTTTAAGATGAATCTCACTGCTAATTCAACTGGATGAAATCACAGGGACCAGTTCACTGGGGTCATTCTAGCTCAGTGGTTCTCAACCTTCCTAATGCTGTGGCCCTTTAATACAGGCTGAGAGCTGCTGCTCTAGCTATATAGGTCACTCAGGAGAGCCAAATGATGGGCCATCTGGTTTGGAATATGGTGCAGGTGCCTGTGGAGACCAGTCACTCTCTCCTGCCTTCTGGATGTCCCAGTCCAGTTCTGAAGGAGCTCAGGAGCCAGACCACCTCACAGTATTGCCATGTTTTGATCATAATTTGATATCTTCCCATTCCTGTCACCAATCATTTGTGTTGAACACTTTACTGACCATTTTAAGTTATTTTCCATGAGTAAACTATTAACTCATGTTCATGAGTTGGCCCTGGTCTGTCCATTTGACGTGAGTCTTGAGAAGTGTTGGGGTGATGTCCCACAGTCAAACCGCAGGTGTGAGTAACCCGGTCTTCCCTTTCTTGGCCCTGAAGGAACTACCTTGTTCTGCGCTAGCTCCATCCCTAGAACCCTGCTTCTCCAGGCCCGAAAGACCAGCAAACCGTCGCCTTCCGTCACGATGGGCCCCACATTCCCCCACTGCCTCACAGTTTCATTTGCCCGGAGACCCAGTGTCCTTAGAGGAGCGTGGTGACCAGGAGCTGTCCGAGGAGAAGCCGAGCCTCGACGCGAGCTTGCATGGAGTGTCACAGAGCAGCTCACTGTGACTGTGTAACTGCACCATCGCCAAGAACCAAACTCTGCCCCAAAGGAGAGATCCAGTTTTCTCAAGGTCAAAGAATGTTTTTAAAAAACACACAGCTGCTGAATGTTCAACCTGTGAAACTGAGATGTTTCTAGAATGAAACAGTAAATGTGCCTGTAATAACTTAATTTTTTTCATAGCTCAGATAACTATTTTTGTCTCCATCTTTTTTACACACAGTATATTAAACAAAAGGTAAATAAGGTATAAATAGATTTAAAAAATTAAAGTTTTAAAAATGTACATTTTAAGAGATTCCAAATACCCTTGCTCCGATACCTGACTGCCTCTCTGTTCAATTTGCACTGTTACATTTTGAGTTGATTTATTTCCATGTTGCATTAGAGTGTTTTAAGTTAATTTTATTTTCTCAGTGTTACTATTTTTTAAGAATTTTTTAAATGCTTCAGACTGTGTGATTCGGTGAACTTTTTGTAGTGAAAAAGCCATGAAGCTGGTAGACAAGACAGATACTCCCTACACTGGAGAGGACGCAGGACGACACTGGTGACAAGGCACAGTCCTCAGAAGGGCTTGGGAAGTCACTGTATAAACCATGTATTACTCTACTTGCACGCCTTCGGTGCATGTACATAACTGCTACTGTGTCCTCGCCGTCGCCTAAATGTGACTCGGTCTGCTCCACTGTAACACGTTGTGAACTCCTTGTACTGTACCGTCATTGTTGGTCGTCTTGCACTGATGATACAACAGCAACAACATTTTTAAATTATTGTTAAAAGATTAGCTGGCAATGTACAGCGTTTACTCAAAATTTTATTGTTTAAGGAAAAACACTATAAAAAGTCATGAGGATGCCAAATTGAAACAAAGGCTGGTGCCTCTAAGTCTGTATGAGACCACGGCAAAGTAGAAATAAAGCCTTTCTGAGATGGAGCACGTTTCAGATCTCTCAGCTCACATGCCCTCCGTGTCTCCCTGAGGGCTCAGATGGACAGGATCCCCTGGCGAGGGGAATGAGGCAGAGAAGAGACTGTGTCCCGCAGCAGCTGCTAACGGACACGCCGGGAATGTGCTCTCGGGTAGGCTCGGGTATGTGGCCGTGTGGTTTCCTACACTCTGTAAGGGGTCCTGGAGAGACGCCTTATTCTGATTCAAAAGCCAAAACTGGGGTAAGGGCAGCATGTGAGGAACTGGCTACCTACAAGTCAGAGTGTGTCCCCTCCCCCCACAACAAGGAATGAGGGAGTGGCCCATCTCTGATACCGAGATGTCGCCCAACCTGTTCGCCTGTGGTGGAGCAAGAATCTTCAAAGTGGTGCTGCCAAAGGGGGTGAGAGGAATGATCTCGGGCCGAAGCCTCAGGCTTTAATAGTTTCATGAACCCAGTAATTTCCTTCTTATTTTACCATTACCAGAGTCCCATCTTTAAGCTTAAATCTTTTCAAAAAATAAACAGCAGGAGTTAGTGAGGATGTAGAGACCTGGGTGCCTCGTGCACTGTTGGCGGAATGTGAAACGGTGCAGCCACTGTGGAGGACAGTGTGGCTTCCTCGGAAAAGTAAACGTAGAGTCAGCACAGGGTCCCAGACCCAAAAGAGCTGTAGAACTGAAAGCAGGGAGTCAAACAGTTACTTATGGGCCCATTTTCACAGCATTATTCACAGTAGCCAAAGGGGGAAACAGCCCCAAAGTCCAATAACAGATGAATGGGTTGATAAAAGGTGGATTAAAAAAGTAAATTCTGACACATGCTGAAAAATGGATAAACCTTGAGGACATTGGGTTAAGTAAAATAAGCCAGTCACAAAATGACAATTATTCTACGATTCCATTTACATGAGATACCCAGAGCAGTCAAATTCAGAGGCGGAAAGTAAAATAATGGCTACCAAGGGTTGAGGAAAGGAGAGAATGGGCGTGTAATGGGCACAGAGCTTCAGTTTGGGATGACGAAAAAGTCCTGGAAATGGATAGTGGTGATAGTTCCACAGTGTGAATATTAAAAAAAAAAAAAAAAAGGTTGACGTGGTAATCACTGTGTATATTTTACCACAATAAAAACTTTTTAATGCCACAAATAAATATTTTACTTAACCATCCTAGACATAGCTGGCAACAAGTCAATAACCATATTATGCCCACTCTGTGCCCATGGCAAATGTCAAGAGATCCAGTGGTGTCTTTCATTTGGAAGCAAGAGCCAAACAAGAAGGGGAGTTGTGGTGCACACCACTGAGAGCCTCAAACCACGTCATCAAGATCCTTCTGAGACAAGGATTCCGTGAATTAGCGACAACGGTCTCCCAGACCGTCTATTAGTTTGGCAACTCTGGATGAAGAGGGCTGCTAACCAGGAACTCCAGCAAATGCCCAGGGCCGATCAAGATTAAGTCACATGTCTGGCCCTCAGCCAATCACAGTGCAGGTTGGCCCAGCAAAGGGAAATCAGGCTGTGGTTAGAATACAAGGGAGAGGGTGTCTGGAAGCTGTAGACAATTGTGGGACTTGCCAAAATTGCAAGGAGACGCTCTGGCCATAACAGAACTTGCCATCTGGTAGGAAGAGATAAAACACCTAGGCACAAAAAAAAATTAAAAGCAAAAATGGTGTGGTAGAAATTCTAGGCACAATGCAGCTTGAGGTGGCCCTGGCAGGAGGAGCCATTTCAGAGTGAAGGAGGAAGGTGGGTGGGAGCAGGAGAAGCAGAGATATGGGGAGCTGGTGGCAGACACAGGTCACATCGGGCAATGACACAGAATCTGGGCTGGGAGCAGAACCTTCAATGAGCAAAGCCGCATCAGGCAGCGGCCAGTGCCTTGAAAGCTGGTTTGGAACTTCTCCCATCACCCCATTTTCTAATAGCTGGGCATATGTGTACTTCAGTCTTTATTGTGGAGGCATTCCAACTTTTAAAGGCAAGGCGAGAGGGTAGGATGAAGTCATCCTGTACACTACTGTCCAGATGAATGCCAAGAGCAACATGGGTCACGCTCAGCTGCAGAAGGAGAGCAGCTGCTTGGAGGGACAGTGCCACAAGCCACTATGAATGTGCCAGTTGCTCTTATGTCCTAAAAAAGCAGCATCAGATTCCTCAGACACAGCCACCAGCCCTCACATGCTGGGCATGCTCTGCCCTCTGGGTGATAGCCAACACCGGCAGCCAGCAGGCTTTTCTCATCCAACCGCAGGCAAATATAGCAGCCTTGTTTCACCCCCCCTTTCTTCTTTTCAATACCATGCCTCTACTTTTTAATATCTGTGTACATCATAATTCTAATTATTTTTAACACATTTGTTAATGTAATGTGAGGTTTACACATTCCTAATTTTATTTTTTGATTTATTTTTTATTGTATGCATAAAGTGCACATGATATTTTGATGCACATATACACAGTGAGGTGGATTTGCCTGTTCAGGACACTCCACAGAAGGGGAGTCATACACTGTGTGGCCTTTTGCGTCTGGCTTCCTTTACTTAGCAGGACAGTTTTGAGGCCCACCCATGTTATAGCAATGTAGTACTTCATTTCTCTTTATGGCTGAATAATATTCCACTGTGTAGATAATATATTTTGTTTGCACATTCATCAGCTGATAGTATGTGTCTATTCTTAAAACCTTTGGTTACCTCACTTTAGCCAGACCGAGTATTCATCCTAAAGGGGGTGATTCATAAACCATCAGTAGCTATTTTATACTTGTCTCACTTGTCTTTGATCGCCCTTTCAGCCTCATTGTCTGAAGGTGGTGTGCATTAGATCACCGTCTTGCAAGGAATCCGGCTCTGAGTCATAAAGAAGCTGGCCATTTAAATGAACTTGATGGCATTGGCTCTTCAACACACTCCGGGTTACTAGGATCAGTGGAGCACTGAGAGTGAAAAATGTAGATTTGGTTCAAACACTAAAAGCTGGGCCATCTCTTTAAGACTCATTTGAAAAATAGCAACAGTGATATTTCCTGGGTTATTATAGGGATAACGGTTTGCTGGGTATGTTCTGTGTGCAAGGTAACACAGAATTACAAACACCAGATACAAACAGAAAAGGCAAACTCCCTGCTTAGTGCTGGAAAACACACAGCAATCAGGCTAAGTGGAACAGGGACCAAGTAGGAGGCTCCTCTGGGGAGACGACACTCCCCTTGTTACCAGCCTCAAAGCCCCCAGGTCACCACTGTCCTGGAGATGCTGCTGCCGGGGACCCTCAAGCCCTGCTGCCAAGCTCCAGAATCTATCCCAATTGTTCAGCTAAAAACTGAAGGAAGCCCTTATTGATACTTCCGCTGCCTCTCAGGCCATGCCAGCCTTCCTGCAAGTGGCCTTGGGCCAAGAAGAACTGGCTCCCTTGTAAACCCCATTCCCTTTAAGACACAAGATTACATAGCAAGGTTCTCAAGTGGTTTTCTTTTTTTTTTTTTTAAGCTTCAGTCCTTTGCCAAAAGAAGTTGGCACTTCTAAACTATTATCAGTCATTCGTAATTTAGTAGAAGTGAGTTCCTGTCTTTGAATTTTTCTTATCAGGAGATAACTAAGGTCTCTGGGTATGGGCTAGTGGGTCAGGAGGGGAGGCCAGGGCTGTTCCAGCAGACATGAGAGGATGAACAGGAGCCAAACAGTGCTGACAGCCTGGGCCCAGTTCTGTCTATTAGATTGAAAGAACCCTCCCCATTTCAAATATAGAAGGTTCTATAACTTCCCAGTAAGCCAATAAACTTCATCAAGGCTCACAGTGCAGTCTACAGGCCAACTCTGTCCCACATTGGTCTCCTAGAAATGGAACTTTAAATTGATTAAGATAAGTGCACCTAAAAGTAGCTGTTTTCTGAATTCTAAATTTCTGGAGGGTGATTAAGCAATAAGCAATCATCTCTAAAACTGTTGTGTTTCATGAGTCACTTCACTTAGAGGAATTTATCCAAAATCACCCCAGTGAATCAAAGTAATTTGTAAAATACATTTATTTGCAGCATCACAAATCATGTAGTGAAATCTGGAAACAGGCCAATCAAATTACGGTCCATCCGCAGGTTTTCCTGTTGTGCCCCCTCACCTAGTAAACATTGCTTATGACGGAACACGGAGCGAGGCCTGTGGGACTGTGAAGCTAAACCCACCTGCCCCAGAGGTGCCTGACTGTCAGGGGAGTCCAGCTCCCTGAGCTCTGATCCTGCCCCTCACTTTCTCCCTGAATGACCATGGGGTAAGTTCCTACTCCCTCCAGGCCTGAATTGTTTGGTATCCAAAATAGAAATAGTAATAGTAATCATAGAATGGACAGGTTATGGGAATTAAACAAAATAACATCAGTTCAGCACTAAGAATAGCACCCAGTATTCCCTGAGTTTTGTTAAATAAAGTGGTCATAATGTGGCAAACCCTAACACAACGTGGGAAGTGCTCTGAGACGTGTGACGCACAGCGGATGTGCCACAGGACACTAGTTTACTCCTTCCTGGGCACAGCATCTTCTATGGCATTTTGTAGAAGAGTCACTTTTCATTCTGTTCCTATAAACAACTCTTCCCCACCCCTGTCAAGTCACGTGAGCTTCCACCAGTGTGTCCTAGTGACACCAGCAGCCATATATTTATGCTGTCTTACTGTGAATTTGTGCCTGTTTACTTCTAAGTTGACTCCAGACAGGTGCCAAAGTTCTCAGGGTAGGAGTGTTAATAAAAGCAACACATATGAATTTTGTTGTGTTGGTCATTAGAGCAGATCATTAATATTCTACTTACTCCTTCTGAGCACACAGTAAAATCAGATTTTTCCACCTCCCTCTGAAGTCAAGTACAGCTCTTTGGCCAATAAAATGTGAACCGTAGCCAGGCATGTCACCGCCTGCAGGAAGTTCTACGAGCCAGTGCCCACTTATCATGTTTCTTTTCTACCTCGGCAACTGTGGAGCATCAAGTCAGCAGGTCCCTGC